TTTTGCTGCCAAGAGCCCCAACCCCTTAYTGGGCCATGGAGGCAGAGGGGTTGGAGGAATGTAGCCAGGTTGGTCTCTCAGCTCCTGACCCTCAATTGAACCTGTCCCCACAACTGTGAGACGGAGGGATCCATGCCTCACATGCCTTCTGGGCTCTTGGTTCAATTCTCAGCACCACCAAAAAAAAAAAAAAAAAAGTCAGAGAGAGATGGAGGGAGCAAAGCCTCCCTCCCCTCACAGGAACAAAGGGAGACAAAGCAGGCTTGGAGCAAGTTCAAGATAGGATAAGGACAGATGTGCAGACAACCGGCTCCTGATGGCCGGCTGCCACCTCAGGAAAAGGCTGGCCAGAGATAACAGGAGAAGCAGAGGGCCTGGAACATCTGCCAACCAGATCCCCGGCTCCCCTGGTGAAGCCAAGCGGACTGCGCCTGGGCTTCAGCAGAAGCAGCTCCAGTACTGACCCCCTTACAAGGACAGCGCCATGTCCCCTGCCCAGCCGGTCGACAAGCCTCATTCAAGCATTTGAGTKTTTTCAACACTTCCATCTCCAGTCACCTTCATAGTCTCCTTCTAACTGGATCTGAGGAAGCCTGGGGCCAATATATTTTCCACCTACTTAGCATGTAGCACATAGGAAGGAAGATGTAGCCTGGTGATTTCTGCTCCTCCCTCATTCCCCTCAGCAGCCCAGGCCCTTCCCATCCAGGTGGGTACTTCTATTAGCTCCAAGAACTTTCAAAACTTCCTCTCTCCATTCTGAGAACCATCTGTCCCCTTTCCAAGGCAGAGAGTGGTTGCACAGATCACCAGGCTGGAGAACAGGGATTCAAGGGAAACCGGCCAATGTCTCATGATGTGTGACTAAGTYTGCTCTGGGGGCTCCCAGGTAATCCATGGCACTTTTATCAGACTCATTTCCGTTGACTCCCTAACCCAAAGGAAGGATGTGTCTGAAATTTTTATTTTGAAGCACAAGGCTAAGGTAGGTTCACAGCAACAATCTCTCTTCCCTTTGCCTGCCAGGAAACTCAGCAGCCCAATTTGGCAAAAAAAAAAAAAAAAAGTATAATTAGGCCTTCATGACCCCAGCCAGTGAGTTCTTCCCTCTAGACTCCCACCTACTCTAACCTTGTCCTTTAGGCTTGTTTTTGTAAGGTACTTTAACACTGTTAAGCAGGATTTTTTTCCCCCTTAAATATCTTCTCTAAGGAATTGGGTCATTATTACTACACCAAGGAGATGATACAGTGAACAGTTTGAGAAGGTAAGTAGGAAACTTCAAGGAAAGAAGACTCCTACCGGGTGCATAATTCCAGGAAGACTGCAAATTCGAGGCCAGCCTCAGTCCTTTAGTGAGGCCCTTAGCGAGACCATGTCTCAAAACGAAAAATAAAAAGGGCTGGACATGTAGCTCCGTAAGAAAGCACCCTGGCTTCCATCTCCAACACCAAAAAAAAAAAAAAAAACAATAACATAAAATAAAGAGAACTCTTGATGCTACGGATTCCTCAAATCCCAGCCAGACCTGGCCTCTGAGAGAGAGGAACACCCCTGTAAGCCTCACAAACCCTTCAACCACCCGCAGCCAGGCACTGCCTCCTAGGCTTGGGGCCACAGAGCCACGCCCAACTTAGTCTCTTAACCAAGAAACTGGAGTCCAGAGACAGAACCCTGGAGCAGCAACCCTGGGCTCCCCCATCTCCTCCTTCCMAGGTCCACCTGTGGTGACACAGAGGATCAGCTCAGCAGAGATAGTTCAGGGAGTTCTGTCCAGAAGCCGGGAGGGGAGACAGGAGGAGGTAGTGGTGTTAACAATCAGTGACAGTGGGTCCCACTCATTCCCAAGTCTATTTTACGACTTTGAACTCGGTATGCAAATTTATGCAAGACGAGATGCAAAGCAGTGCTGGGAGCCAGAAGTCCTGTTGCTTTCTCGGCCCCCCCCTCATTTTTGAAGCTGCACTGAACCACTGTAAATCAGTGCCTGCCTCTCTCCCAGCTTCCTCTCCCCCAGCAACTGCAGATGCACAACCTCCTCACTTCCCTGCTACCTAGCTTGCTTGCCCTCGGTGGGCCTGCCTGTTTGTTGGCCCAGAACTTTGAAGGACTGCACATTTCCTTAGCACCTTCATATGTGCAGAGGGCCAGACGGCCACTTGGGCGGCCCCGCCCCTCAGCATAATCCCCTTCATTGTACCCGACAGGGATGGAGGCTGGGGATGCAGAAGAACCAGCCAGGCCTAAATTCTGAAAGGGCCAGGCCTGGTCCAAGTCTGCCCCCTAACTCCCCACCCCACACAGACTTTTTTCTAGGCATCTCTGCCCACTCCACCACCTTCCACACTCACATAGTTTTAAAGTCCCGACTTCAGGCTGATCTCAGTATCCCCTTTGCATTTTTCTCCCAGGTCTCACCACCCCTACCCCCTAGACCCAGAGTCTGGCTTCTTGGTTTCAGTTAACCAACAAGTCCCAGCCCATCACCCTCCAGGGATGCAGGCTCACCAGCACCCACTTCTGCTGCCGATGTGCCCACCCCACCCCCCTGCATCCCTGCCATCCCCAGGAAGCCAGCAATACAGCCCCTGAGTCCCGGGAACAAAGACAAAAGAGCTAACAGCAAGCCGGAACTGCTGGGGTTTGCTGCCTCGAAATAAGAGGGTATGTTTAAAATTCTCAAAAGCAACCTGCTCCAAGAGGAATGCAGGCTGGGGGGTGGGGGGACTCCTTCTTCAGTGGGGGGAGGAGATGGAAGATGCAGAGCAGGAGGCAGCAGCACGAAGCCCCACCCTACCCATACAGGGACCTAATCCCTGCCCCAAACCAAGACCCTCTCTCGCAGGCACAAAAGCCTCCATCCTTGCCCCTCTTCCCTGCACCCTAGAGCCCAGGTTTCTCCCTACAGGGCCCCCTCCCCAGCCCTCCTCCTGGCTCAGCCACCCCAGCTGTCCAGTCACCTACTCAGCTTCCATCCCCCGCCCATACCCTTATCCCTCTACCCCCACCTTCCCAGACTGGAGCACCAGAGAAAAATGTAGAAGGCATCAGGCACCAGGAGAAGGCTGAGCAGGCAGCTGGGACGAGCTGGCGGAAAGAGTCCCATAACCAGGCAGAAAATCCAGAGTGACATTCTTCCCATGAACTCACCCCATTGTCCCTGGGCTTCCCTGACAACCCCCACCCCCTTTCAGGATACAAGAAGTAGAGTGGGGGGAGACCTCTCTCCCGCATCTGTTGCAGGCTGAAGACCCCCACCTGCTTCAGGGATCTTGGAAGCAGGAGAGCTGGGTTTCAAGCTCAGTGAGACCAACGAAGAGTGGAAAAAATATTAAAATGGTGAGGAAGAAAATACACCAACTTTATTAAAACAGTCAAAATCCAAAAGGTTCTGTGAGGCCTTTGGAAGAGTTYGCCCTGCTGAGGAAGATGTTTAGTTTGAGCTCAGCTCAGAAACTGCAGAAAACCTCCTGGGTGGACTCCAGGGTGCCAGAGGTTATGGGGAGGACTGGTCCCCGGACTGGGGGACGGTATCCCACAGGGAGAGGACTTTGCTCTCTTTTTCCTTTTATTATTACTAAGAGAAGCAGGAGGGAAGGGTTAATTTCAAGGCAGGCTAGGAGAAGAAAGGAACAGAGGGGTTCCACTTAGAGGGAGCCCTTACCTTGCTCAGTACTCAAGGTCAAAATGTGGGGAGAAATAGAAGAAAGATTTCAACTCTGACCCCTAATTCCATTCTCAAAGGGAAAAAACAATGGCAGGCCAGAAGAAGGGAGGTGGTGTGCGAGGAGGGAGGGGGCTTACAAAGACGCTCAGAAGCCAGAAGGAATGTTCCCACTTTTTCTCCCCCCACCCTCAATTTTTTTTTCTTTTTTCAGTTTGAAAAACTTGGTCAGACTAGCTTGCTTTTTAAACAGCAGCGGACAGTGGACACATTTCACTACCATCTCCAAGAGGAAAGAAATAATTATAGCTTCCTCCAGACCACGGGGAAGGCTTTTGTAAATTCAAAATTAAAAAAAAAAAAAGAAAGAACTCCTGATAGCTTGGTTGTGTCCTTCAAGTAACTTTTTGCAAGGGATGAGGACCCTTTAACAAAGAGCCCAGGTTCCTCATCTTATAGGATAAGAAGAGTCCCCCGATTTGGGGTGGGGGTGGGGGGAATCACACAGCTCACGTAACAGTCGTTCCCCCCACCCAGGCTCCTCCTGCCTTCCCACCCGCTGCCCAGATGCTTAAACGCACAGCCTGGCTGCCCGGGTCCTGGGAATGCAGCCGGTGATCCGGCTTAAGTTACACMGACTCAACTGCTGGGGTCTCCAGCACGCCTCCCCAATACACCCCCCTCCCGTTTTCCTTTTCCATCCAACACAGCCCCCTTCATTCTCTCTGTAAGACTGCAGCGTCCTCTTTAATTGCTCTAAGCAACTCACCCTTCAAAGCACCAAATCCTTTCTTCCCACCTCACCACCCCAAGAGAAGGAAGGGTCTCTCACTCAGGGCGCCGGTGCCTCCACCCCTCCTCACCCGAGGTCTCGGATGTCACCGGCATCCAGTGGCTTGGGCCTCCCAACAGCGTTCCCACCGGGACCCTTTGGCGCTCACCGACTCAAGCTGTGCCCCAAATAAGATTCAAGTTCCCACTCCCACGGATCTGACCCACACCCTCCTCCCCAGTAAATCTCCCCTCCAGAATAAAAGTGAGGGGACTGACCACCCGGGAAAGGCTGGTAACTACAATGAGTCTCCTCTTCCGATCTATCCCCGCTAAATTAGTAACCAGGGTTCTTCCGCCTGCTCCAACTCCAGTCCCCCACTCCGGGCCTGACTTTCGGGTTCCCGCCCTCAACGATCCCCCCAGATCTGGCCACGGATTCAGATCTTCCTSTACTAAAGTCTCTGAGGTCCTGCCGCACACTCCTTCCACACCTCACGGCCGCCAGCTGACCGCCCCACTGCCCTCCAAGTTTCTCCCAACTAGTTGTCCCAGTCCGCGTTACCTGCAACCTGCTCCGGACTAACGCCGTACTTGGCGTCCCGGCCCTTTCCGCAAGTGCCCACGCCCATGACCAGCGACTGAAGGGGCAGCTCGGAGCCGGGGTTGGGATAGCAGCGTAGCCCCTGGCCGCAGCGTGGGGTGTAGACGCCGCACGCCTCGCCCTCCAGCCGGGCGCACACGGAACAGCAGCCGCAGCCYGGCTCCCGGACCAGCTCAGTGCAGGTCCCGCGGGCGCCGCCGGCCGACCGGGACACCGCGTCCGGCGGGGGCCCGCAGGCAGCCAAGCGTTCTGGCGTGCAGGGCGGGCAGCGGAACAGCACCTCGGCGCGCACTCCGCGGCCACCGCTGCCCGCGCCCAGCAACAGCACCAGCAGCGACGGCAGGAGCAGCGGCAGCGCGGGGCCGCCCAGTCTCAGCAGCATGTTGGCAGTGGGGAGCGCGACAGCAGCGACCGAGCGGGCAGGTGGCACGGCCCTGCGAGCGCGGGTGCCGCCTCCTCCGCTTCTTTCTCCTTCGCCGCCGCAGCCGGGTCCTAAAAAGCCTGCTTCTCCCCGCCCCCTGCCTTCTCCCCTCCCCCTTTCGGAGACCACCCCCTTCCCCCAGCACTCCTGCGCGCCGGCACGTGCGTGCGCACACGCCCCCCTCGTCCACCCCGCCTGGGTTCCCTGCTTCCAGGGTCCCACTTCTCCCTGACCCGGTCCCTCCCGGATCTTCGAGACGAGGCTCGCTCGCTCCAGAGAAGAAGAATTACTTGCGAGCCTGGGAAGGATAGGCGTGGGAGTGGGGAAGAGCCGGGGCTTTTGTCGCCGTTTGGTTCAGTTTGAAAGGACTTAAGTTTGGGCGCATCCCTGGTGGCCCGCGGTGAGCTAGCCGTTAGGGAAACACAAAGGCACAATCTTGACCTCAAGTAGATTTCAGGGCTCGTATCCACTCCCTCAGCCTCGAGGTATCACCCATACCTAACACGTGGTTCAGAACCATGACTTGGGTGCGTCCTGAGGAATTCAGACCCGTCTATACCAGGCTAGCCCCAAACAGCCCCTTTTAATGACCATTGCAGTTTCCCAACAAGGAACTCATGGCCACAACATATAAGAAAAGCGATTTTTAGACCTTGAGAAACCTGCTCCCTTCCTCTCAATCCCCACCCCTTAATGATCCCTTAGAGACCCGGGCCACCTTTCACAGATCCGGAGGCATTTGCTGCTGGAGATAACCCTGTTTGCCCTGCTGCCGGGTCYTGGAAAGGTCAGGTCAGACCCCTAAGTGTGAGAGAAAGCCCTGACCACAGGACCAATTAAAGCTCTCTTCAATAATGCAGATAGACAAACATAGCTTCCATTGTTCTGTTTGATTTACTGAGTCACCAGCCAAGCTGCCCCCGCCTCATTCCAGAGTGGACTCAGCCTTAATTATTCACCCATCTCCCTGGTATGTGACCCTAACAAAGACCCTTGTCAGAGAGTCTCTCCTAAGGAATGGACTATTAAGCTAGCTTCCAGGTTTAAATTTCCAATACCTCCAATGCCACCTTTCTTCCACCAGATTTCTGTACTACCTTCTAACTTGAGTACTCAGAGCCTATTTGATCCAGTTCAGCAGCTAATCATGTGGCACCTGGCCCTAAAGGTGAGTTAGAGACCTCCAGGAAGGCAAGTTCCAGATCTTAAGGAACCAAAAGCTGAAGAATTGTGCAAAGAAATTGGTAAAACTGGTTTTCAGAGGCTTTGAGAAAGAACTGTTAAGAGAAGAGTGGTGCAGGGAATTGAGGGCAGAGTTTCCCAGGTGAGGCAAGAATTGAAGCTTGCAAATTCTCTCAGTGGAAATGAAGGGGTAGCAAGAGCACCCTAAGCATAAGGATCAGCCAAAGCAAGGGTGCAGAGACCGGGAAGTGAGGTTAGAAATTAAAAGTCATTCCACTTCCTCCAAAGACCGTGCCTGGAGGAGCCATGAGGGATTGGCAGGAAATCCAATTGACTCATGTGGAGTTTTGGCTTAATTTGTTAGGCAGCAGGGATGCAGCAGGCAAGTTTGAGTACAGGAATGAATATAGACAAAGCTGGACCTTTGGCAATCACTAGAGCTATGTAGAGTACAGATCTTACAGAAGGAAAAACACATGGGCTCAGGGAGGCGCCTGGTCACCTCACTCCCTGTGTCCTGGTGTCTGGTGCCTGCCTGGTAACGTGTTTCTCTTGGTTACATCCACCAAGTTCCTTCTGAGGTGTGGCCCCATACTGCCCGATAGAAATCTAATGTAAACTCCAAGTGTGAGACGTATGTACAATTTAAAATTTTTCAAGTAGCGATGTTTAAAAAATAGTGTTATGGTTTGGATGGGAGGGGTCCCGCACAATCTCAAGTGGGAGACAATGCAAGAAGGTTCAGAGGAGAAATGATTGGGTTTTAAGAGTCTTAACCCAATCAGTGATTTAATCCCCCATAGGGGTTCACTGAGTGGTAACTGAAGTGGTAGGGTGTGGCTGGAGGAGGTGGGAATTGGGGCGTGGCTTTGGGGCACARTATCTGGTCAGTGGGGTGGTTCTCACCTTCTCAGTTGCCTGAATCACTATGTGAGCTGCTTACCTCCGCTAAACTCTTCTGCCATGATGTTCATTCAGCCTCACCTTGAGCCCAGATCAATGGAGCAAGCTTTCTGTGGACTAAGATCTCTGTAACCGTGAGCCCTCAAACTTTTCCTCCCTTAAAATTGTTCTGGTCAGATCAGTGAAAAACCTAACTAAAACATTCAGTAAAAAGAAAAAGGTGATCCCCGCTGCCCCCGCCTACTAGGAATTGAATTTAGGATCTCATGTAGGTTCAGCAAATGCTCTACCACTGAGCTACATCACCAATCCTTCTTTTATAAATTTTGTTTTGAGACAAAGGTCTCGCCAAGTTGCCCCAGGCTAGCTTCAAATCTGCGATCCTCCTGCCTCAGCTGGGATTACAGGCTACATCCTTTTAAAATATATACTTTAGCTCAATATGTCCCAAATAATATTTTAATGAGTCAACACTAAAAATCATTAAGAGAGAAAACATTTTTTTCATACTAAATCCTCATGCTCTGGTATGTCTTCTACTTACAGCACATTTCAACATTTCAATTTGAACTAGCCAAAATTCAAATGTTCAGTAACCAGATGTGGCTAGTAACTACCAAAATGGCCAGGGATCTAAAATACAGTGTCTTGCTGGGCATGGTGGCCCAATCCTCTGTTCCCAACTGCTTGGAAGACTGAAACAGGAGGATCACAAGTTCAAGGCCAGCCTGGGCAATTTAGAAAGACCTTGTGGCACCTAGCAGACACTCAGTAAGTGTTTGTTGAATGAATAAAAATATTGACTCTAAAAATAACCTTGACAGGGCCTCTTCTCTCTCTCTTTTTTTTTTTTTGTACTGGGGATTGAACCCAATGATGCTTTACCACTGAGCTCCATCCCAGTTCTTTTTATTTATTTTTTTAATCTGAGATAGAATTTTACTACATTGTTGAGCAGCTTTGAACTTCCCATCCTCCTGCCTCAGCCTCCTGCATCAATGGGATGCAAAAATGCTAAAGGACAGCCAGACCCAAGCTGCGATTTTCTCTGCTAAGTCACCCTGCCACACACAGCCTCACACTCTCTCTCTGCAATGCCCAGCAGCTGGGATGAAAGATAGTGATCAATCTATTGGGAAGCAGAGAGAGACATTCATTCAATCTTTTAGCTACTCACTTGTCTTTTGAAATTCATTCTCCTTTCACCCTCCTTTAAGTTGTTGATCAGTTAGCCAAGAACTATAGAGATGAGCAAGCAAAGAAATGCTGACTTAACAAAAGTAAAGTACTCSAAATGGTTTTCCCTTTCTAATGGGTCTAAAAACCACACCCTAATTCTTTTCTGCTAGTTCCCAAGTTAATAGCCAATTTTACCCTTCCCACACCTACCCCACCAGCACACCTACCTCAACAACAACCTCTTCTCTTTAAATCCTTTCCTTTCCCCCAGGAGCCTCAGAGCTCCATGCCAGAAAGACCTCCTACCACTGAGGCCTGAGCCTCAGCACATCTTCTATGAATTAAAAGAAAAATCACAATGAAAGCAACATTAAAAGGGTTTTAGAAAATGGAATGAGGGATCTTTACAGAGCTGGGAACTGTGCATGTCTCAGGCTGCTGCTAGGGATGTGAACCTTTGGTCACCTGCACATTTTTGACCACAGAACCACCACATTGTGTGCAGAGACTCAGGGTTTGTTTCAAGAGGACACATGTGTTATGGACATTTTTTACTAAGTATATACATTCTTTTCTTTATCTGCTTTGGTCACAGTCATGGTCTTGGGTTGGTCATGGTCACAGGTTGGTCACATAGCTCCTGTTCTGGCTCATCATTCAGTAATTTATATAAACACCCATTTTTCCTACCTTCTTCCAAATACTAAAATTCAGAACTCTCTGARCCTGTCCCCAGTATTATCATTCCTAAGGTCTAAATGAAGTTCTTTTTATTCTTATACTTTCTACATTTGAACTGGTCGACACTTTGATCAACCAAGGCCTAGAAAAGTGAAAAGATTTGGCCACAGCCCCAGAACTGGTTACTAGCTGGCTTGAGACTTAATCACTTGTACATCACAGTCAGCCCAGAGTCTTCAAGAGCACGTGGCACATGGATGTCAATAAAAATTTGTTGAGTGAACCTAAGATCTCTGCTCATCTCTTGGTTTGCCCATTGTTCCTTTAAATTTCATATGAATCCTCTGTAAATGTTACATCCTTAGGCTTGAGAGCCTGACTCTGTCGGGCAGTGTGGGCTTGGTTGAGAGATGGGACAGGCTGAGACTGGTTTTCTCCTTTCTCCCTAATCCCTCCTTTTTTCCATTTGAACCATATTGCACAAACTCTACCCTCCAATGGTTTACCATAACTAAGTACCACCTGTGCTATTATTTACATAATTGTTTAATGTGAGTCAATTCATTCTTTTTTTTTTCTTTTTAAGTTGAGGCCATTTTAAAAAGGAAACTTTATATCACTACCATAAATGGAATCTCAGTAATGGATGGTCATATACAGATGGTAACCATAAAAATAAACACAATAAAAACAAAACTGTGGTATTTGATTCAAACTGGATACTGTTGCTTTGCTGAAGCCTCTGAGCCTGGTACACCCTCCTCTGTTTAAAAGAGATGAGCTAGACTGAAAGAAATGCTAAAGGACAGCCAGACCCAAGCTGCGATTTTCTCTGCTAAGTCATCAGAAAAATAGGAATATTTTTCAAATGTTTTATTATAATGTAATATATATGCAAAAAAGTATGGAAATCAAAAACTTGACAAATATCCACAAATTGGTAATACCATTTAAAAAGCAACCAGATCAAGAAAGAGATTTTTTTTTTTTGTAGTTGTAAGTGAATAGAATGCCTTTATTTTATTTTTTTTTGTGTGTGTGTGTGGTGCTGAGGATTGAACCTAGTGCCTCRTGCGTGCTAGGCA